ATGTGTATGTGTATGTGTATGTGTATGTGTATGTGTATGTGTATGTGTATGTGTATGTGTATGTAGATGTAGATGTAGATGTAGATGTAGATGTAGATGTAGATGTAGATGTAGATGTAGATGTGTGTGTATGTGTATGTGTAGGTGTAGGTGTACGTGTACGTGTACGTGTACGTGTACGTGTACGTGTACATGTACGTGTACGTGTACGTGTACGTGTACGTGTACGTGTATGTGTATGTATGTATGTATGTATGTATGTGCATGTATATGCATGGGCATGTGTGTATGTGTATGTATGTGTATGTGTGTGTATGTGGGCCTGCTTTTTCATGCTGCCACTAAGTGCAAGTGGGGCCTGGTGATGGGGCGTCGGCAGTTTGGGCACCGGACGGAAACCACGGCCGAGAACCAGGTGCGATCGTGGAGGGTCCCGGGGGTGCCGCGCCATTGGGACGCCGAGGTGGTCAAAGAGGTGCTGATGGAGGCTGGCTTCACCCAGGTGGCGATCACTTCGCGAATGGTGCGCAAGGGCACCGCTACGTGGTTCGTGCGGGCCGCTGGCAAGGAGGATCTGGCTTCCATTTCGGTCTGCGAGGGTAAAGAGAACATCGAGATCTTCATTTTGCCGGTGCAAGCATGGCTTTCGGGAGCCGCTCAGGCGAGAGAGACCCATGATCTTTGCCAGGGAGCATTTTGCTACCACGACTGGGGCCAAGGAAGCCATGGAGACGGATGAGACGGGCAAGGAGGTGCCGGCTGGGAAGAAGGCCAAGCTGGAACTTAGAGCGGTGCCTCCCGGGGTGACGCTCAAAACGATGCCTAGGGATGGCAACTGCCTGGCCCACGCCTTGGGGCAGGGACTCACTTATTTGAAGCAGGACGTGAAACAGAGACCGGCGCGACTTGTCAGGGCGGAGCTTCATGCTTACATGGTGCGCTTCGCGGGCTTTTGGGACGGCCGCAACACCTCGGACGAGGAGGGCAAGCTGGCCACATTCGAGGAGTACCTGCAGGAGATGGCCGGGGACAGCAGGTACCTTGGTTGCCTGGAGCTGACAGCTGCCAGCCGTGCCTTTGACTTGACCTTGATTGTGGTGCCGGTGGCTGCCGAGGACCCGCCGACGATGCATGGCTCGGGGTCGCGCACCCTGGCTCTGTGGTACCATGGCGACCACTACGACCTGTTGCTGCCGGAGGACCGTGCAAAGGGCTACCGGCAAGTTTGCATGGGGCCTGCGGCCCGTTGTGCGGAGGAGCCTGGGACCACCGAGGTGGCTGAGGATGCGGCGATCAGAGCGAGAGATTGCCAATACGGCGGCCACCCAGGCTGAGGACCTCGATGACCTGCTGGAGGAGGAGATTCCCGAAGCGCCGCCCCGGCCATCACGGCGGCGGAACAATGGTCAGGAGAAGTCACGGCGGGGGTTCGTTAAACGGAGTTCCTGGCCGTGCCCTGAGTGTGGTTGGCGGGCGACTGGGCCCAACTGGCAGCGACTTAAGGCGGAGCACACTCGCAAGAACCATGCCGACGTTGCAGATCGCTTCGGCAAGGCCGAGGCTCGCATTGCTATGGTTCCGTGGAGTCCGGAATGTATCTGGAAGTGCCGCGTCGAGGGCTGGGCATGAAGGATGATGGCACCTGTGGACAGTATCGGCACACCTTTCGTATGCGACACCGCCAGGAGTGCCATCCGCACTTGCCCAAGGAGATGTTCTACTTGAGCTCCCAGCCGACCGACCGGGTCCCGAACGCTGTGAAGGCCATGATTGCGTGCCGCGACAAGGGGGCGGCGAAGAGGGTTCAGGGCTTGAGGGCAGCCGAAGCTGGGGGCCACGACCCGGTGTGGGTGGCTTACGCTGTGCCGCCTCCCGCGGGGAAGCGAAAGAAGGCTTGGCATGAGGACTTGCAGCACCGAATCTTCTGCAGGAGGTGCTGCAACATCGCTCGCAAGGCGGATGACTTGGCCCAGCGAGATTGTGTGCTGGGCTCCATGCCGAGTACGATGCACAAGCTGCTGCAGCGACTCCGGCGTCGTCTCGAGGACACCGACGTCCCCATCGTGGTCAAGGAGGCGACCCAGAACACGGTGGCGATCCTCGAGCAGAGCGTCAAGCGTGCCGACGAGACGGGGAACCACAGCATTGAGGCGGTGGCATGGCCGGGCAAGGAGTGGAGCGTTAAGTTCCTGTGCAGGGGCTGCGGTTCGATTGCCGAGTCCGAGGGCAACTTCCCTGGCGGCTGCAACAGGCGGGGGCGGCGCCGCCCGTATGGTCACCGAGTTGCGTGGCATCGAGGGCGAGGAGGGGGGAGAGGGGTTAAAACAAACTAAATAGACATAAAAAAAAATCTAAATAGGCATCAAACAAAAACTAAATAGGCATCAAAAAAAAACTGCGTGGGTATCCCGAAAGACTGAC